TGGGAGTGGCCAGTGGGTCTAAATGGTGAGGTTGTTGCTAAATAATGGGGTTGGCCCAAGGGTGGGGGAGGGAATTGGGAGCACAAGTAGTGACCCCAGGTAGTAAGACTGCAGGTTGGATCTGGCAGGCCCTTTTCCTGCTCACATCCTCCTCTCTGCACAGGGCATCTGGATCCCCGATGGGGAAAATGTGAAAATCCCCGTGGCCATCAAGGTGTTGAGGGAAAACACATCTCCCAAAGCCAACAAGGAAATCTTGGACGTAAGCCCTTCCACCCTCTCCAGCTGGGGGCACGGGGGAGCCCCGGGCTGCAGGTCTGGGCTCTCTTTTCACTCGGGTTTTGGGGGACACTCTGTGATTCCCCCAAATCTCTACTCTTACCCTCCCTCATCTGTGGGCCATGGTTCTGGTTTGTGATGAATGGGATTGGATTGGGTAAGGGTCCCATTATCATGGCTCAGCCCTTGGGAGGGGTGTGTGGTGGTTGGGGGTTAGTGGTTTCCCATACCCTCTCAGTGTGTACCCTTGTTCCCAGGAAGCATATGTGATGGCTGGTGTAGGCTCCCCATATGTGTCCCGCCTCCTGGGCATCTGCCTGACATCCACAGTGCAGCTGGTGACACAGCTTATGCCCTATGGCTGCCTCCTAGACCACGTTCGAGAACACCGTGGGCGCCTGGGCTCCCAGGACCTGCTCAACTGGTGTGTGCAGATTGCCAAGGTATGCACTTTGGGGGCCAGGGCTCTGCAGGTGCCCTTGGGGAGCATGCCTCTAGACAGGGAGGTTTCCTGGGAGAGTTTTGGCAGAGCGAAGTCCACACTAACGCCTCTAACCCCAGGGGATGAGCTACTTGGAGGATGTGCGGCTTGTGCACAGGGACCTGGCTGCCCGGAATGTGCTGGTCAAGAGTCCCAACCACGTGAAGATTACAGACTTTGGGCTAGCTCGGCTGCTGGACATTGACGAGACGGAGTACCACGCGGATGGGGGCAAGGTTAGAGGAGGGAACAGAGCGAAACCAGGCGGGGTGGCGTCTGGCCCCTGGGAGGACTTAGACCTGTTGGAGGACTTCCTTCTCTGCTCTACCAGGTGCCCATCAAGTGGATGGCATTGGAGTCCATTCTCCGCCGGCGGTTCACCCACCAGAGTGACGTGTGGAGCTATGGTGTGTGATGGGGTGGGTAGGGAGGGTGGACAAGGAGCCACGGCCCTGGGGAGAATGTGGGTGGAAGGATGGGGCAAGTTAATGGACACCTTTAGGATGAATGTGGGAAGGAAGGAAGTGGCTGCCAGTGCCTCAGTCTGCCAGAGTCTGTGCACTTCCCAGGGACTGGGGAAAGACCAAGTTATCTCCTGCCTTTTGGCACTGCATCTTTCCTCCTTCCCCCATGGTGCCAGGCGCTTGGGCAGAGCCTCTGAGGCTCTGTACACTAAAGCTGCCTCTGGTCCTCCCACCGCTTTACCTCATCTCTGCCCCAGGTGTGACTGTGTGGGAGCTGATGACTTTTGGAGCCAAGCCTTATGATGGGATCCCAGCCCGGGAGATTCCTGACCTGCTGGAGAAGGGAGAACGGCTGCCCCAGCCCCCCATCTGCACCATTGATGTCTACATGATCATGGTCAAATGTGCGTTCTTGAGCTGTGTTGGCTGCTTGGAGGAGGGGTGGGTGGTCCTGGGTGGATGGGCCTACAAGGGGAATGGGAGGGGGCCAAGAGCATGGTGATATGGTTAATGGAGTCTCAGAAGGCTCTCCCTGCCCTTTTACAGCACCAGTCCAGAGGAGCTAGCAAGGGCCAGCTAGGAAAAAAGACTGATGCAAAATAAAAAGGGGAAACTATAGATTCTCTATCATCAGAGGGCTTTGGACTCTAGTGTTGTCTAGACTAGGGGTGGGGGTGAGGGGCGCTGGATGCAGGCTGCAGCCAGAACTGAGATGCCAGGCTCTTGCCCACCCCCAGGTTGGATGATTGACTCTGAATGTCGGCCGAGGTTCCGGGAGTTAGTGGCTGAATTCTCCCGCATGGCCAGGGACCCCCAGCGCTTTGTGGTCATCCAGGTACTGAACCTTTCACCCCATCCCTGCCTATGGCTAAGGGCACTCTCCCTTAGAAGGGAAGAAAGGGAGAATGATTCCTGGGTCCCAGGCCTCCAAACTCCTGCCTGACTCGTCAGATTTGTAGCCCTCCCTGAGCCACCCTCAGGAGGCTGCACACTGGGCTGGGGAGAGGCTGCCACACTGCCTCCCTCCTCCCCAGAATGAAGACTTGGGCCCTGCTAGCCCCCTGGATAGCACCTTCTACCGCTCGCTGCTGGAGGATGATGACATGGGCGACCTGGTGGATGCAGAGGAGTACCTGGTACCCCAGCAGGGCTTCTTCTGCCCAGACCCTGCCCCCGGTGCTGGAGGCACGGCCCATCGCAGGCACCGCAGCACATCCACCAGGGTCAGTGCCCCCATCACGTGGTGGGTGTGGTTGGTTACCTCCCCTGACTCCAGTGGACTAGGATCCCTTCCTCCAATGTCCCCCAGCCATTACCTCTCATGGAGGAGGTCCCATTTTCCCTAAGAAGGATTCCTACTTTGATCTCATTTTTCCAACTGTGATCCCATTCTTTCTACCGTGTCTCTGTTACACATCAGAGATGATTTATCTCCTGGGACCCTGTCACCTCCCATGGAGCCTCCATCTCAGATCCATGAATCACCTCCACTTTGACCTTCTCTTGTCCTCAGAGTGGCGGTGGTGAGCTGACACTGGGGCTGGAGCCCTCCGAGGAGGAGCCCCCCAGATCTCCGCTGGCACCTTCCGAAGGGGCAGGCTCTGATGTGTTTGATGGCGACTTGGGAATGGGGGCGGCCAAGGGGCTGCAGACCCTCCCCCAACATGACTCTAGCCCTCTACAGCGGTACAGTGAGGACCCCACAGTACCCCTTTCTCCCGAGGCTGATGGCTACGTTGCCCCCTTGACCTGCAGCCCCCAGCCCGGTATGAAATCAAGCTCGAGCTGAGAGATTGGGAGGTGGGGGTTGGGGGTGCTCTGCCCAGGGCCTGCTGCAGGGCAGTTGTAGCAGCTGGGACACACAGGTTCCACCCCTCTCACAAGATTCCTTCTCTTGTCCTTTCAGAATACGTGAACCAGCCAGAGGTTCGCCCACAGCCCCCGTCACCCCTAGAGGGTCCTCTGCCGCCTCCTCGACCTGCCGGTTCCACTCTGGAAAGGCCCAAGACTCTCTCCCCTGGGAAGAATGGGGTTGTCAAAGACGTTTTTGCCTTTGGGGCTGCCGTGGAGAACCCTGAGTACTTGGCACCCCGGGGCAGGGCTGCCCCTCAGTCCCACCCTTCTCCAGCCTTCAGCCCAGCCTTTGACAACCTCTATTATTGGGACCAGGACCCATCAGACCGGAGCACTCCACCCAGCACCTTTGAAGGGACCCCTACGGCAGAGAACCCCGAGTACCTGGGTCTGGACATGCCAGTATGAGCCAAAAGGCCAGGGCCACTGAGGCCCTGCTGAACCCTCAGGACGTACGGAAGGCCTGACTTCTGGCCCACATCAGCACTAGGCAGGGAGCAGGCCCTTGGGTCATGTCCAGGGGAGCCTGCCATGCCAGGAATCTCCTTTTCTACTTCAACTCCTAGGTGGCTGAGAGCGGCCCACCCTGACTTCTTCCAGATCCTTGGCACTGAACGACTTAGGGAGGCTGGGCCAAGTGTGAAGAGGGCCCCAAGGGGGTGTCTAGGAACTACAGCAACCCATTCAGAGACTGTCCCCGAGACCCAGCTCTGTCCCTGGGAAGAAGCGAGCAGCGGCGGCACCCAGACCCAGTCCTTGTACAGACTGCTTTTTTGGTTTTGTTTTTACTTATGTTTTTTTGTTTATTTGTTTTTTTAAAAATGAAATAAGGACTCGGCGGAGAGTGGGTATTGGGGGGGCAGTCCCTGGGGTTGGGGGAGGGATGTCCTCCACACTCACTTTCTCCATCTGCAAATATATTTTGGAAAACAGCTGGACACCAGCTTATGTCTAGGGGTGGCTTGGAGCCGTCCCTTTACTGCTCACCTTCTGAACTTACGTTCAGTTCATCTTTCCTGGAGGGACTGGCTAGGAATCTTCGGAAAGCTTGAATTAGGAGCCTTCTTCCAGTTTTCTGACTCTTGGGTTGGGGGGAAACTGGGAGTTGGGATTCTGATCTGAGAGCCCTTTGAAAAGATCATTCTTAGGAAAAAAAGAACTCCTAAGGCCATCCACCCACCAGAATGGGGTAATTTCCTCTCTGTAGGTAGGGGGAGTCGGGGAAGGACAGAGGAAACAAGAGGCACTGTCTACTGTGTGACTCATTTTTCTTGCCTTGGCAAGGAAATCACTGAATTAAGAGTAGCTAGGGACAGGGAATCCTGTCATGCTGCAGTCCATGGGGTCGCAAAGAGTCGGACATGACTTAGTGACGGAACAACAAATCCAGAAAAAACCCACCCAGCCAGCACAGTCACGCTGGTGGAATAAAGGTTGGGCTGGCCTCTGTCCCCCATCCCTCCCTCCCCATAGTCCCAAACTGGACATAAAAACACACACTAAAACACACACACACACACACACTAGTGGGCACAGGTGTTTGCAGTGCCACTTTATTGCCAATAGCTGACATTGCCTGGGGCTAGTGGAAAATAAATTAGAACCATGGTAACATCTGACAGGTACGGCTAAGCTGGAGAGGGGAGCAGGTTTTTGTGGGCACTGATCTTAGGGAAGGAGTGTTAGGTGGCTGTGGAAATGTCCATGGAGAGCATCTCTCTTCCACCCCTAAGACAACAGAACCATCTACTCCCTCCTGGTGCCCACCAAAGGGGCAAAGTGGAGGCCAGGGTCTCTTAGCTGCCATGAGCTAAGTGAGGTGACAGAGGCAGTGGGGAGCCCTCAGCGGGATCAAAGCGGGGCAACCGGGGCAACCAAGGCTTGGATCCCAGAAGAGAGCAGGAACCGAGAATCGCATCCAGTCACAGGATGACACAAGGAGGGCGGCTGTTCGTGATCTTTTCGAGGGGTTCTCCGTTACTGGCTCTTCGGATGGCCTCAATGAGCTAGAGGGCAGAGATGTGGAATGGGATGATGTGTCCCTTGGAGGGAAAAGCTGAACTAGGGTTATTCCCAGTATTGCAAGTACTCACATCTTTCTCGTAAGGAAAGCCCCCATTCTCCAGCTTGGAGAACACCAGCTGTCCATTGATTTCAATCTCAAAGGCCCCTAGTATTAGATAAACATATGAATGAACTGTATGCTGAGCACAGGCAAAAGGCGAGAAGTTCTATAAAAGGGGGCCTTCCACACTCCTTGGACTTCACACAAGCTCCCTCATTAGCCCCATTAGAGATTCTTCAAGCCATTTCCTAACCCTGGGTAAAGCCAAAGAAACTTAAGGGAGGCATCATCCGTGTGCCCTTCCTTTGAACTCCTGGTAACTAAATGAAAGTTTCCCTTCCCTCCAACACCCGTTTCTCCCAGTAGGCTTCAAATGTGACTCCCCTCACCTATGGAAGGGGGCTCAAGCTGGCTGGACATTTTACTATGTGCCAGGTACTGCTGGACACTATAAAGCAGCCAGTGCTAGAACTAGAAAGTGATGGAGCTGGGATTTAGAACACTGACTCAGCAGGTGTTCTGCAGCCTCACCTGTGCCCCCCAGGCGCGACTCGATCTCGATGCCTGGATACTGCTCCTTCACGGCACTCGCCAGCTCCAGGTAGGTCGCCTCGAAGCCGCAGGGTTCGCTAGGGAGAAGATGCCGGAGGTCCGGCTGGGTTTCGGAAAAGGTACCTCCGGTGGACCCACCCTCGTCAGGCCCGGATCCCCGTCACTGGCAGGGGCCGCTCACCAGTACTCAACCACAATGCGGACCCCACGGCCTGGTTCGGTCTCCCCGGGAGAGGGCGCTACGGACGTCGTCCCTGTATCCCCGCTCATTGCTGCCAGCTCCCTGCAGCCGCTGCTTCCGGGTGTGACGCAACGCCGCGGGCACGTGATGGGGCGGGGCCGCGCGTGACGTCGGATCGCCCCCTGCAGGCGGCTGCTACTGCGTTATGACTGTGTTACCAGCTGGAGGGCTTGGGCTGGGCGGATCGGCCTAGATCACCTTTCCTGGCCCGAATTCTCGGAGCGCAGGTCTTGCCCCACATCTAGTGTCAGCTGGACTAAACGATCTTATTTAATTTAATGACATAGCTTAGACTGCAGAGGGCCTGGGGTTGACTGATGGTATGGAATAATTGCCGTTTCTCCTGTCTTGCTGATGGCATTATAAACCATTCCACAGTTACACACTCAGGTACTTCTTACTCTTAAGCTCTAAACTGCAGGCACAGTCTGGGTAGTTACCGTCTGTCTCATGCCTTCGGAAACCTTAGGCGTTAAGGCTTCTATTTCGCGGGCTCTGTGCTGCCATCACGTGCACCCAGTTCCTCCACCTCCCGGTCTCATCCTACCCCGCTACCGAGCTGGCTTCCTTATTCCCGTTTTGCAGCTCTAGAAGTGGAGGCTGTCTCCTTGCCTCTTCTTTCCCTGGAGTCCCACCAAAGGATCCTCTCAGGTTATTCACTGTAGCATCCCTTTAAACCATTCATTTTTAAACAATTCAGTGACTTACAGAGTTGTGCATCTCCACACATTTCCGCCGACATAAAAAAAGTCCCACCTGCGTATTTTCAATCTTTCCAGCTATCGGCTCCAGCCCTAAGCAACCACTGATCTGCTTCCTATCAATTTGCCTTTTCTGGATGTTTCATATAAATGAAATACTATGTAGTCTTTTGCTTCTGACTTCTTGCACTCCTTTTACAGTTTTTGAGGTTCATCCATGTTATAGCATGTACTAGTGGTTCCTTTTTGTTGCTGAGAAATATCCTAGTGTATGGATGAAATGTTTTGTTTATTCAATACCAATTGATGGATATTTGAGTTTCCTTTGAGGTATTTTGAATAATGCTGCTATGAATGTTTGTGTGTCTTTGTATGTACATGTGTTTTTACTTGTGGGTATGTTCCTACTGGTAGAATTGCTAGGTTGTGTGGAAGGTTTATGTTTAACTTAAGAAATGGCCAGACTGTTTTTCAAAGTGGCTGTACCATTTTACATTCCTACTAGCAATATATGATGATTTGTTTCCCTGTATCCTTGTCAACACTTGTTGTCTGTCTCTTTCATTATAGCCATCCTGATGGGAGTGAGGAGGTTTTAATTTGCATTTCTCTAATGGTCTTGAGCACCTTTTCATGTGCTTACGAGCCATTCATATATCTTAATTTGGAAAAACATCTATTCAAATCTTTTGCCCACTTTTAATTAGGTTGTTTGTCTCTGTAGTGTTGATTTGTAGGAGTTCTTTATATACAATTGACCCTTGAACAACACAGGTTTGAACTGCGTGGGTCTACTTACATGTGGATTTTTTTCAGTAAATACATAGTACTATGCAAATTTGGGTCAATTTGAAGATGAAAACCAGATGGGGGGCTGACTGTAAAGTTATATTCAGATTTTCAACTGCTCTGGGTCATTGGTACCTCTAAGCCCTGCATTGTTCAAGGATCAACTGTATTCTGGATACAAAGTTCCTAATCAAATATATGACTTGTAATTATTTTCCTCCAATCTTCCACAAGTATTTTTTTAAATTTAATTTTTGAAGTGCAAAATTTTTAAATTTTGGCAAAGTATAGTTTATCAACTTTTTATTTTGTCATTTGTGCTTTTGCTGTCTCTTGTACCTGAGATCTCTGCCTAACCCAAGGTAGAAAGATTTTCTCCCATAATTTCTTCTAGAAGTTTTATAGTTTTAGCTCTTACTTTTAAATCCATGATCTATTTTGAGTTAATATTTGTAAATTGTGTAAGGGAGGATCTTACACAATTCTAAATTCATCTTTTGCCATGTGGCTATTCAATTTGTCCCAGAACCATTTATCAAAAAGACTGTTCTTTCCCTCACTGAATTGTCTTGGCACCTTTGTCAAAAATCAATTAACCAGTAGGTCCAGTGGTTAAGACTTTGCCTTCCTGGAGAAGGAAATGGCAACCCCCTCCAGTATTCTTCCCTGGAGAATCCCATGGACAGAGGAGCCTGGTGGGCTACAGTCCACAGGATTGCAGAGTCGGACACGACTGAATGACTTCACTTCACTATGTTCCTATGATCACTTCTAAGACTTAAACTCAGATTTCTTCATAATAAAACCCTTCTGAATATAATCCATTCAATTTATACTTTTACAGTGAAGTTTAACAGTTAACAGGGATTCCCTGGTGGTTCAGTGGTTAGAACTCGGTGCTCTCGCTGCCGAGGCCCAGGTTCAGTTCCTGGTCAGGGCAGTAAGATTCTACAAGTTGCATGGTGTGGCCAAAAAGAAAGGTACAGAAAAGTCACGTGACCTTAGTAGGTCAAAACTGTCTTTTTTAAACACTCTTCACATATATGACATTGACAATACAGTTATTTCCATGGATTTCCTGGCAGATGTCATGATTTTTTTTTCCTGGGCATCAGGCTGATCAATGGATAAGATCCTCAACCCAAGCTTTTAATAATTTCAAAGTTAAATTTTGTGATGGTAGAAAAAAAGAGAAAAAAAAAATTTTGAGATGGTTTATTTGTTGGTTTCATATCACCCGTATAATACTTACTGAGTTCCTAATAGTTAGAGATAATCTTTTTGTACATCTCCCAAGCTTGAAATGTGTGCTTGAAAACATAATAAAGTAAATAAAATAATAATTGACAAAAAAAAAAAAACTTTGCCTTCCAGTGTAGAGGGTGGGGGTTCGATCCCTGGTTGGGGAGCTAAGAATCCCACATGTCTCACAAACAAAAAACCGAAACATAAAACAGAAGCAGTATTGTAACAAATTCAATAAAGACTTTAAAAATGATCCACATCAAAAAAAAGTTTAAAAAAAATCAATTGACCAGAAATGTAAGGATTTTTACTTGGACTCTTGAAGCTGTCCTATTGATTTATAAATCTATTCTTTTTTGTTGTTGTTTCTTTTTTATTTAAGAAATTTAGATATAACTTATACACAGTAATACACATCCTCTTGAGTGTACCTTCCTGTCAGCCCTGACACACACCGTTGTACATCTACGACCAGGACCAAGATACACAACAGGTCCATGACCTCCTCACAAGCTTCCCCGCTGTCAACCCCTCTCCTCCTCAACTCCAGATCTGTTTTCTGTCCTTAGCATTCTGCCCCCTCCAGAAAGTCATATAAATGGCATCCTATAGCACTGAGCCCTCTGAGTCTGGTTTATCTTTCCAACTTATCGTATCTTTCAACATCCAGAGTGATTTTTCCAAAACATAAACCTGCCTGCTCCTCGGGGCCTCTCCTTAAGCTCAGAGGGACCCTGCAGGGTCTGGCCTCTGCCCATGGTTCCTGCTGGTCTGGACAGACAGGATGGATGGCTCTTAAATCTGGTTTACAGAACAACCACCTGAGGGCTTGTCAATACCATACATTCCTGGGTCTTGTCCCCAGAGACCAAGTTTCAGTAGTTGGGGATGGGCCCAGGGATCTGTTTCTTCGTTGTTCTTGTTTGCTTGGTTTTTTAAAATTTTATTTTATTTATTTATTTTTGGTTGTGCTGGGTCTTTGTTGCCGCTTGGGCTTCTCTCTACTTGCGATTCCCAGGCTTCTCACTGCCATAGCTTCTCCTGTTGTGGATCACGGGCTCTAGGCGTGCTGGCTCAGTAGTTGCAGCACACGGGCTTAATTGCCCAATGGCATGTGGAATTTTCCTGGACCAGGGATCGAAGCCGTGTCCCCTGCATTGGCAGGAGGATTCTTACCCACCGGACCAAAAAGGAAACCCAGGGATCTGTTTTTTTTTTTTAAACAAGCCCAGGCAGATTTGGAGGCCACACTTTGAGGGACACAGTTGAGTACAAAGCCTTTCCCCACACCTTTCACATCTGCTCAGCCACACCTGTGTGGGCTCCTCTCCTTCCTTCTCCACCCTGCTCTGCCTCTGCATGCTCTGTCCCCTTTTGTCAAGGGTTTTGGCACTTGTTTCATCATCATGAAAGGTGCTCCCCCTTCCCATCCACCAATCCAAATCCTCCAACCCAGACAGCTTACCCTCTGCTCAACTGTCACTTCTATGGAAAAGTCTTCCCTAACTCCCTGTGTGTTTTCCCAGTATAGTTGTCGCCTGTCATCTCTTATTATTCGTGCATTCCTTTGATTTCTTTTTGTTTTGGCTGCCGCTGGGTCTTCGTTGCTTTGCTTGGGCTTTTCTCTAGTTGCAGCAAGCTGGGGCTACTCTCGAATTGTGGTGGCTTCTCTTGTTGTGGAGCACTGGCTGTACGTATGTGGGCTTCAGTAGTTGTGGTGCACAGGCTTAGGTGCTCCATGGCACGTGGGCTCTTCCCAGACCAGGGGTTGAATTGACGTCCCTGCATTGTAAGGTGGATTCTTAATGACCGGACCACCAGGGAAGCCCTGGTTCTTTGATTAACATCAGTCTCCCTGATTGGGCTGCGTGAAGATAATGGTGGGATCTGTTTTGTTGCTCATTGTATCCCCAGTGCCAAGCATGCGGTTGGCATAGAGTAGGTACTTAACAGATATTAGTTGAGCAAATGAAGGATTGATTGAGTGAATTGTCTACCATGTTTTTCACAAGATATCCAGTGGGTCAGGTGACCTTGCCTCTTTCCCCACTTCTTCACGTAGGCCACTCTGGTTTTTTTCAAGGAAAATTGAGTTTGGAGAAAGTTGAGCATCGAGTTACTCCTCGAGGTCCCCCAGGGCAGATCTCTTATCACCCCTATGAATTGTTTGTTTACTGAACTGTCACCCACTTGGGCTGGGAGGCGGCTGCTGCCTTTGATCTCAGTCTCCCAGGCCCTCTCTCCAACCTTGTGTTTGCCTACTGCTGAAGGCCAGCGCTAAGGGGAGTCCCCTG